TGTTATCAGCAAGGTCTGTCTAACTCCTGGTTTCAGCTGTTTGCACTGACCCCGCTATCGCATGCAAATAAAATCCCTAGGAGTGTATAAAGCGTGATATACTTGAGGCTGAATAATTGGTCATTTTGGTTGTGAGCTCCCCTGCTACACATTATAGCTGTAATGAAGTCCTGCTGAATATGGTGATGAGTATGTGTGTGTGTGTGTTAGGGGATACGGCTGCATGCATCTGTCATCTACGTGCATGCGCTACAGCGAGGTGTCTCCTGAGTCAGGGATTATTGCTGATAGATTATTTCTTCAGCCCCCTCATTATCACTGGATCAAACAGACATGTGACCCACACTTCATCACACCATTCATCCTCCGCTTAAACCAAGCTCTAGAGACCCATGCAGAATGCTGGTGGAACTGGATATATGAGCTTGTGTCTGGGCCGGCGCATGGTAGCGTTTAGCATATGTACAGAATGAAGCTGGATTTATGTTATGACAGATTCTTCGGCATAGGTCTATTCTCACTGTTCTATAATGTGAAAGCAAGAAACATAACCTGTTCAAGATTATGTGGATGTCTAGAATATCCCTTCATTTGCAATCCACCTACACTTTACCTATTGCAATTGTGTTATTACAACAATTATAACTATATCCAAACTTGTGCATTTTGGTCGGTAGCTTCACTAGTACTGTATATTAACATGGCAGAAAATTGGAACAATACTTTGAGTGTGTGCACTATACAGTGTAATTTATTAATAATAGTAGTAATATCTAGACAATGTAAAATAGCCTGTTATTATAGGACACTGTCATCATCCAGTCCTCATTATCAGTTGAAGGATAGGCTCTTTGAAGCTCATTAGTGACCGTTCCTATGTCAGCATTAGAGAGTGATTCTATAAAGGAGGTGGTTGCTTCAGTTTTGAGACACAGCGCTAACCTGTGTATTCTGTGACAGTGGTGACACCCTCCTTTAGTCAGAGGCCCCTAACGAGGTCATCACTGTGCGCCAGACAGGGGTCAGCCTTACATTTGACCCTGTCCCTCCCGCACAGTAATGTCAAAAGTCTTCCTGTCACCTGCCCGCCGTAGCCACTGCGCTCACATCATTGGGTGCTTGCACGCCGAGCTGTCACACGAATAACCAGCATGTGTGGATATCAAGGTGGGCTCATGTCTTTTAATGAGATAGACGTAGCGCCCCCACTAATGTTCCCGCCTTCATTAGGCAGGTCCCAGCTGCAGCCTGTCAGCCCCCTTGTTAAGCCCAGTCCTGGTGGGACGGTCAGGCAGGGCAACACTGCTGTCGCTATGTCTGTCTGTCTATCAGCCGTGTGGCCTGGGCGTGATGCAGGCACAGCCTGTCTGATGGCATTGGATTTGATGTCATAGATGTAGTCCCTGTGTTCCCAGGATCTGAGAAGATGCTTGGCTAAGGATCCAAACCTCAGTGTTTTGGGTGATCTACAACATTTGGTTGCCTGATTAGAATTCTGCAATGGCCTTTGTCAACAGTATTGTCCGACACTGCAGGACAAAGCGTTGTCACCAGTGGAATAATTAAGTGTGTACGCTGTAAATGCACCACCTGTATTGCCCAAGGAGTCAAAGATACTGAGGGCTTCATCAACCCTCTTCATATACTGTTTGCACACAGTACAAATGATGATTATAAAAGAACAACATGATATCTCATTACAGGAGGATGAAAATGGGTGGGTCATCAATATACAGTGGTACAGTCAGTGGTACACAAAGACATTCTTTGTGGAAGACAATTGAAGTAGTTAAGTGACTCAGCATTTGTGTCTCAGTTATAATGCATGTTTTATTATTATGACTATTTTTTGAGGCCAGTCTACACACACATATATATATATATATATATACACGCCCTTGTTTAACTATAGCTTACCATGTTCCAGGTTTACTTCTGTCAAATACTACTTTTAACTGTCTCATCAAATTCACAGTGACACATGAGTCAGAGCTAACCAGACCATTAAAAGCAACAGCAGTCCTTGGGATGTGGACTGGTCAAAAATTAATTGGCCCCATGGCTGTTTGAAAGCACACAAAAAACATATCCACAGAGTGCGTAAGCATTTCCTACATAAAATATGTCAATTTTCACCACTCAAGTCAGTCCAGCAATAATGACCCCATGGTGGTTTGACAGCACAAATGACACAACACTGTGTGCTAATGACACTGAATGTAGTCACTGGGTAAACATGGTAATTAAACAACAGACTATGCCCAAGTGGGGCACATCCAGATCTTTCAAACATCCCATTGTGTCTTAGTGCACTCTCTGGATTGCTCTTCTTTTCCTCTGTTTCTGCCCATCTCTCTCTGCAAGACATTTGCATGCTGGAGGCATAATTGGCTGGTCTCATAGCGACGATGGCAGTATTCCTAAAACGAGGACATCTCAATGCACCTCACACGTCCTCACTGTCACTATGCTCACTGCAGAAAGCCTCCCTGACACAAACACAGCAACACAGAACACTCCTACAATGGCAGCCATGTCTGCTCCTACTCAAACTACACCCAGTGACAAGAAGGAGCTGAACTAAGCACATTTCTCTTTCTCCCTTGCAGTTTCCAAAGTTCGGGATTACCGTCAGCATGCAGTAGCACTGCAGGAGGAAGTTTTTTTTCTCTGTGAGAAGGCAGTGTGAGAGTTTGCAAGGTGACAGTTTAGCTCTAGTGGATTGCTCCATGGGCTCATGTTGAGTTTGGGATGTGCAGACATTTTGAACATGCACAACTTACATATAAGCGGCACATTTTGTATGTATCATGGGCCGAAATCCTACTCTCAAGTGAAAAGCAGAATAAATCGGCCATGTTATACTACTACAATTACTTTTTATTTGAGTTCAATATCAACATTTATAGAGTAAATTTTTCCGGCAGAAGATTGCTGTATAAGGGCCAATATTCACTCATCCCACTGAGAGAGTCCACCTGCCAAAACCTTACTCCATTCACCCGTGAAACAATTAGCAATGGTGAGCAGTTTTGCAATTAAAGTCTCAAAACTGTCATTCGACCCAATTCCACAAGAAACAAAATCCCCTTATGTATTTAAGGCAAATCAGATAAATGTCCAATTTAAATCAAAAACTCACTTCAGAGGTATCATGTGTTACTTTACCGATATTGTTGTTTGCAAAACTAGTTGGGACAGTTTGAAATCCAATGTGCAAATCTACTGTGGTAGGTGTATTTCAACTTTGTTTTCCTTGTGATGCTGATAAGGTTTAGGAAAATGGAACAAATATATGTCAAGTGGAGAAATAGAATTCTCTTCAGGCTTGACATTCTCCATCAAACAGCAGCATAATGTTGTGAACAAACCGTCTGTCTCAAACTCTAAATGGGTTCAGTCAAAATGGATGCTAGAGCCCAGTCAAGGCTTAAATCATCTCTGTCGCACTCAAAGAGAGGCGTTGATGCCAGAAAGTAAAAGAGTTGGGCTGATGGAATCTGGCGCAAACACATTCCCACCTTTCCAATCTTATTTTCGTCTCCTGCCTTCTGCCTGCTTCCATCGTGGGGGCTTAGTGTACTTTTAGTGTCCCAGTGCATACAAAGTCTATCAGAATGCGTTTGTTTCATGGAGCCCCTTTTCACATTCAAAGGGTTAAACAGACCATTCAATAGCCTGTCAACATTCCCTGGCCAGCCTCATGGAAAAGTCTGCTCCAGTTTTGTTCAGGACCAACACTTGTCTACTCTGCCCGTTGTTGCTTGCGTCTTGTAATATCCATGACAATCGTGTTGGGCCTTTCAGGGGGCTCTGTAGCGCCCATTCTGTGGGGCCACTTTCAGGCCATAAAGAGCTTTATTTGTGTGCATTTGAAAGAGTCATGTGAAGTGCCCTTGGACTGGAATCCCCTTCAGTAGGTCACCTCTGTCCCAATGGGCTTCACTCTTGGTGGCAGTCATCAGTACTGCCTTCACACTCTTATAAAGTATGGTGGATAGATAACTATGACCTACAAAGGTGGACAAACGCAAGACACAATATCTGGCCCTCACAGTCACAAGGACTCTGATTATGTATCCATGTTTTGACTCTAGTATATTCTGATTGTCTCTTGATGCGACACGTGTGTCTTTATATGTGTGACGTATCTGTGACGTAACAATGAATATATAAACCATGTCCTGACTTCTCTCTGAAAAACTGAAACAACTGAGAAACAACTGAAGGAAACTGAATAAACTTCCAGGTAGCTCTGGTGCGCAAAGATCCCGTCTCTGTGTGGTTGATTTTCCACAAAAGTAGTATTAGTGTTTGTGTGTGCACATCCTGAGAGCCTCTAAAATTAAATATTGGAAATGGGAAATTACGAATTAGTTTAGTTTATTTGAATATTGAACAGTACCTGTTTTAGCTATTGACATTGCAGATGTTTTATGAGCTCCAACTGCCCAAACTCACCAGAAGGTGCACATTTGAGGCAAATGTTCAGGCGTGGGAAGATAGGATGGAAGATCTAACGACATATCTGTTTTTATGGACCATATGGAAATCAGTGTATGTGCACAGCGGACATGTTAGTCAGTGGTGACCCTAACGGCCATGTGTGTGTGTATACTGAATGGTAAACAGTGTCACCCTGACCTTCGGCATACGGGTATTCATTCTGAAGGAGGCCTTTCACAAACACAGCCAAGCTGCCATCCAGGCCCTTGGGACTTTGATTTGTTAATGAATTGCTCTATTGACTTGAGTCTTTGCTTGTTTCATTAGAGGACACTAACATCACTCCCTGCTTTCTTTTTTTATTTTTTGGTCGTTTTATTCAAGCCTGATCTCCTGTGTGGAGGAGATGTGGGCAAAGAAGAAGGGGGGCTATTGTATGTTTGATTTAAATCTTTAGGCTTGTCATCTGTTTTCCCCCTCCTTCTGTGGCTTTCATTCTTTGGCCTGGCTAATTTGTATTGTGGCAGTTTAAGACAACTCTCCAGTGCTCAGTGATGCAAGAGAACAAACGTAATGCTGCTCCTCGGCCCCTCTCCTCTGCCCCCCAGCCCTGGCTCACCCTCGTGGACAGGCTGTGGTCCAGCTCTGCCTCCTCTAAATCTATTTCCCAGTCCCTCCCCAGCCCTCATTACCATGAGGAGACAATAATGGTTTTGTCAGAACGATACCTGCTTTACAAGCAGCAGATTATTGTGTCCTGCCAATGTTAACACAACAAGTACAAGCTCTCTGTCTGTGGCCGTTCCACCGGCTGTCAGCACTCATCCATTATAGCAATAACACATGGCACACAAAGACTTGTGACCCTGCAGCTAAGTATACAAAAACATATAGACAATATAGCTTAACACAACATATGGCGCTATCACAAACCACAAGCCTGAGTTTTCCTGTCCTATGGCCAGGAAATGTGCTGCCCCTGGCTGCTATATGGACCACACAGTGCCATGGTTGTGCACTGTGTACTTTACCAGAAGTGCCATAAGCAAAAAGGACACTTGTGGGTGGTAAATATGTCAGAAAAATTCCCAGACAGACAACGTCGTCAGAATTAAATCCTCGTGTAGTCAGACGTCACAGTTTATGTGATGCCTATTAAGCAATGTATAGAAATGTTTATATAAGTTTTTGGTGGCAGTCTCCGAGAGATGAATTAAATCTCTTCAGAGTCTACGGCATCACATGTGAAGGTGGTGTCCAAACGCCTGCAGCCACAGCAGCCCTTTCTGGACCAATTTGGACACGGGCATCACATGTGATGCTGTAGACTCTGAAGGAAGGTTTGCTGTGGAAGCACTTCCTGTGACCATGCAACAAGGCAGTGGGTGAGCTGGAGGAGCTTCCTGTCCTCTGCGGAGACCTGAGACCCTGCTGTGAGGGTTCAACATGGCTGCCAGCTCCATTGTCCTGAAAGAGGATGTGAACTGGTGTTGTCTTGTCCACAGGCCAGAGACAAATTGTTTATGACGCACAAACTTTACAAAAAGGTTCACCTAAACAATCTAGATTGGATGTGGCCCAAATATTCTCCAGGAAATAAGCAAAATCTCACTTCTGAATGACATATTACGCTGCATTTCCAAAACAAATTCAGAAGATTTATTAAGTTTTCTAAAAGTAGGTATTTCATTGAGGCATAAAGGATTGTAAAACATTCCGGATGGCTAATTTTAGTAGCTTAAGTAGCTACATATGTATTTAGTACCGTAGGTTATCATCAAAATAAGTTTCCCATTCACTTTCTGTCTACTGTAAATCTGTAAACGTTTTGATCTTAAGTATGCACTCACACTTCAGTTCAGCAAACAACAGCAGTGGTAAAGATCAAAACTTAGTTACTTGTTCAGGTCTGGTCTGCATGGCCTGCCACTATGCACACAGAGAAATCCCAATATTTATCCAGTTTGTATGACCGTGGCACCTGCTGTGGGAGACATTAGTCATTTGTAAGTATTAACACGGCCACTTCCCCTCTCCCTTATCTTCACTGTCTTTCTGTCTCCTCTCCTCCTTTGCACCCATGTTCCCTCCCTCTGTGAGTACACTGTCAGTCACGTCCTAGTCTTTTAAATGTCATCCACTTACTGCGGAGAGCCGTCACCCCACTTGACAGTTTTATTGGCCCACGTCACAATGATGGCAATGATGGCGATGGAATAAAGAAGAAGGAAGAGAAGAAAGTGAGCTGGAGGGGAGACAAGGCAGTGTCAAATCAAATTAGACTAATCAGAGTGACGTGATTAATAGGAGTTCCATAGTGGGGTAATCATGCACAGCCATCATCACTGCAGTGGACTTCAAATTAGCATGCCCCGCAGTGAGACTTTGATCTGGCAAGCATCAAACAAAGACAAGCGTCACTTTGCCAGAAACTTACAGCGCACCTTCGCCTCATCGTCTCCTCACTGCTCAGAAAACAAAGACGCCAGACAAAATGAGACAAAAAACTACAACTGTAGATAACAATCGTATCTTCTCTTGTCCTCGATGATCTCTTACAGTCTGTAAGAACTTGGCACTTAAGACAATGTCTTCAAAGCGATATGGAACCAGAGTGTTTTCGTAGAAATGTCCATCACGCAATGAAAAAAACCTCTTCAAACAGTTTTATAATGATAATGCACAGTGCTAACCACAGTGAGCCGTAGCCCTAAGCCAGGGGTGTCCAACCGGTTCCAGAGAAGGGCCTGTGTGGCTGCAGGTTTTAGTTCCAACCTGAGCAGGAGCACACCAGACCCTACCCATTTCTTCAGAAGAGTCGAGTTTTAACCTGAAGAGTTGAGGAAATGGTTTGAGTCTTGTGCTCCCGCTTGGGTTAGAGTTTGAGTTTGAGTTTGAGTTTATTTATTTAAGTGTCATGCACAAAAGTGCCCAGCCCACATGGGCTTATATGACACTGAACAACAACATCTGATGGCTACAGACCATATACAGACATGAAAAACAGAAAAAGATTTACAATTTGGTGCATTATCCAGGGTACAGAATTTGTTGTCTCCTCTCCCAGGCTTTAGCAACAAAAGAAGCAAAGGCAAAAACTTCATGGCAATACATCCAGTTGATATTTCTCCCTCAGGCCACCAAAAAACCTCTGGGTTAGAAGCATTCACTTTTTCAAATAAAATGTTTCGATATTCAAAGTAAAGTGGACAATACAAAACAAAATGAGGCTCATCTTCTACCACCCCCAGGTCACACACTGTACAGATACGGGCCTCTTCAGGAACCGCTTTAAAGCGGCCCACCTCCACTGCTAGAGGCAAAGTGCCGGTCCTCAGCTGGGCTAACAGAGAGCGCTGCCTTCTCGGTACATTTAACTGTACGTACAGTTCTGTGTAAAACTCCTGTTTGAATAAAATATAATGTCTTAACTTAGGTTTCCTGCAAATATCAAGTTTCCATTGTGCTTTAAACTCTGTTAATGCGTTTTGTCTAAACAAACTTATATTACATTTTAGTTTATTTAAATAAACATAATTTAAATGAGAACTTAAGAATACTTCTGCCATTTCTCTAGACCAGGGGTAATTGTTTGAACAATTCCAAATAAAAATCTTTTTTGTGAGCCTGTGATTGGGCAGCTGGATGAGGCGGTTCCATAAACGCACCATTTCAGCCCTTTGCTTAATGAGACACGGCTCCCATCCCATGTCCCCCTGTATCGCTGGTATTGGGGTGAATTTATGCACTCCCAAAAATGTTCTAATAGCTCTATTCTGGAGAGCATTAACGTGATCAATCTCCTTGAAACCCCAAACTCCCGCTGCATAGAATAGAATAGAGCTGACCAAAGAGTCACACAGTTGTGTATAAACAGAGAAACTTAAGTCTGGGACAATTTTCATTTTACTCACAATGCAGCCCCACCGGCCCTTTCTGGAACCGGTTTGACACAACAATCCTAATTCTAAACCTATATCTGATCCTTCTAGTCATATCATTCAGCAGGTAGCGACTGTATGGTAATTATCAAACAAATGTTAAGTATTAAAATTAAACTAAATTAAATATGTGTTCGTTTACTATAAATGTTGTTGGTTAATATAGTAAAATGTTTCATCCCGGCCTATTTAATAAAACGAAGCAAAAGTAAATTCATGGATATACTGTACATACACTGAGACCTAAAGCAGGACTAGTTAGGAGCCACTGGTGAAACCATTGGAAAAAAAGTAGTAGTACAGTAAGTAATCTTTATCTATTTAGAACCTTTCACAGACCAGAGTCACAAAGAGCTTTATAATAGTGGCCATTTGTCTCTCACTGCACACAGAGATGGTTCAGTTATCAGTTTACTTTTTCTTTGATCACCGCATTAAAATATATATTACATATTAGTATGCAAAGATACAAATACATGAACCGAAGGAGTTTCGGCTGAAGTATAAACTTCTTTCGACCAACTGTGGCGACAGTAACTCAGTTGGTAGAGCATTGGCCTTTGAGCCTGAAGGTCGTGGGATCGAGCTCACCATGAGACCTTCTCCATCGACTCCTACTGATGTCTGCTGTTGTTGTGTCCTTGGCAAGACACTTAACCTCTGGAAACACCAGCCACAGTGGGGCGGCTGCGGCTGTAAAGTGCCAAACTGCCGTTGTATCCTTAGGCAAGACACTTCACCCCTAAGATAAGATAAGATAAGATATGCTTTATTTATCTCACAAAGGAGAAATTTACATATTTGGCATGGAAAGAAACACTCAAGATTGTGCAACAAGCTCTCCCAGCTCAACGTGCCCGATTCCACCTGCAGGTGGATCACTGACTTCCTGACGGACAGGAAGCAGCGAGTGCGTCTGGGGAAGAATGTCTCGGACTCTCGGATTATAAATACAGGAGCCCCACAGGGCTGTGTTCTTTCTCCCCTGCTCTTCTCCCTGTACACCAACCACTGCACCTCCAGCCACGACTCCGTGAAGCTGATCAAGTTCGCGGACGACACCACCCTCATTGGACTCATCTCCAACAACGATGAGTCCGCCTACAGGAGGGAGGTGGACCGGCTGGTGTCCTGGTGCAGTGGTAACAACCTGGAGCTGAACGCCCAGAAGACAGTGGAGATGATTGTGGACTTCAGGAAGAGCACTGTCCCCCCGCCCCCACCCTCCGTGATGGACTCCCCCATCACTTCTGTGGAGTCCTTCCGTTTCCTGGGCACCACCATCACCCAGGACCTCAAGTGGGAGCCGACCATCAGCTCCCTCATCAAGAAGGCCCAGCAGAGGATGTACTTCCTGCGGCAGCTCAGGAAAGCCAAGCTGCCTGCACAGATGTTGGTGCAGTTCTACACGGCCATCATCGAGTCCATCCTCACCTCCTCCGTCACCGTGTGGTTCGCTGGAGCCACAGTCGGGGACTAACAGAGACTACAGCGCATTGTGCGCTCTGCAGAGGAAGTGATCGGCCGCAGCCTTCCATCGCTGCAGGACCTGTACGCCGCCCGAGCTCGAGGCCGGGCTGGTCGTATCACAGCCGACCCCTCTCACCCTGCACATGGACTATTCCAACCACTCCCCTCAGGCAGGCGGCTGCGGTCCATCAGGACTAGAACCTCCCGCCACAAGAACAGTTTCTTCCCCTCTGCTGTTGGACTCTTGAACACTTCTTAACCTGTCCCCCCGCCCTTTATAAAGTCACTTTACTGCCCATCATACGTCACTTTACTTCACTGTACTGCTGTCACCTTACATTGTGTGCACCATGTGCACTTGTATATTGTAAATAGTAACTGTAACTCTATTTTAAATTTAAATTTATTCTTTAGAAGTGTTTTTTATTCTTATTTTTATTATCTCTTTTTGACTGTTGCACTGAGCCAAAGCAATTTCCTAGTCTGTGACCTCCTGTTACTTACGTGGCAATAAAAATGATTCTGATTCTGATTCTGAAATGTGCAAACATGTTAAATGCAGGATATATTATGTACAATAAAAAGTGTCAATTTAAAAGTGGCAGTCAGAAACAGTGTCAATAGTAGTGCAGGTTTTTCAGTCTTAATACAGTGACTTAAAGTGACTTGTTGTACAGTCTGACAGTGGTGGGGATAAAGGCCCTATTGCCTAGAATGACTCTGGTGTGTGTGAATGGTTGGTGGTGGTCGGAGGGGCCGATGGCACATACTGGTTGCCTCGCTTCTGTCAGTGTGTCCCAGGGCAGCTGTGGCTACAGTAGAAGTTCATCACCACTGTGTATGGAGTGAAAAAATAATGACATGTAAAGCGTCTTTGAGTGACCAAAAAAGCGCTCTATAGAACCAATGCATTATTATTAACTCCTATTTCAGTCTCCTATCACAATATTACAAAATCCATGGATACTCACCAATCAGTCACAGATATCATATCAAAGAAAAGCAGAGAAAAAAAGAATAGTATGGGAGAGGTCTTGCCAAACAGGAGGCGCATGCCAGACATATTGTACATGTTGGAGCACCGTGCTAACAACTAAAATTCCCGAAACACAATTTTCATGCAGTTTGACAAAATACATGTATATCACCAATAATTAAAAAAACCCATGATTACATTGAAGCAATGGAAGGTAAAGGAGTCGTTTCAAGTTTCAGAAATAAGAAAGGGACATTTCAAACCTGTCATAGCACATGTAGTGTCAATACCATAAAGATTGTGCTTGGTCTGCTCTACTTCGACTCCAAAACTGACATTTTCATTAAAAGGTCACAATTCTTTTCATGTATTTGCTTCTGTAGATGTGAATAGAAACCTGCCATGGTAAAATGAAGTGCAGGGATGTGGAGAGTGGGACAGGGATTTGGACATGGACAGAGGTGAGACGTGACTGTCAGAGATACAAGATCAAGAAGTCCAAAAGACCAAAGCCATCAGTTCTCACCAAGATCTTTGCAGAGAGGTACAGGCCCATACCGCTTATCTTGGAAAGATACAGGGCATTGCATTATATAGAGTGATATATGAGCCAGTTTGAGGAAAACTGCATGTCCTTCACAAACTCAATGCTTATTAACCGACTTAAACAAAGGACACTAATATGCGTGAATCCATTGAAATTACTCATTTATTCAATTGTGATTATTTGATGTGTGGCTTAATGGCTTTGAATTTAAATGAACTGTATGTGGGAATACCCTCTATGGAGATAATTCATTGAAACTAATACCAAAATAAGATATGGTTCTTCTATTTTACTGTATCAGCTGCATGAAGTTTAAAGATGCCCCCGCTTAGCTGTTCAAATGAGGATGTGGAAAATTTCCTTCTGAAAACGGATTAAAATAATTTGCCAAGAATAATCATTTCAAAAGCAATAAGGACCCCGAGTGTATCTATTGAGCATTAAATATTTTCTAGTCTGAATTAAAAAGCTCATTACTGTCTTTCATTTCCTTGAGGGAATCATGCCCACTTCTTTTTTCTCGGTCCCCTTGGTGGATGGGTAATTTTCTGAGGAGGCTGGAGGAGTAGGCCCTGCGCGGCTGCGTGTTCAGCAGGGAAAGTACATGAAAGTGTCCTGTTTTACACAGTGGATCTCATTCTCCATGCTGTCCACATTTATGTCTGTCTATCTAGAGACTAGCTCTAAATCTCCTTGGTCTAACAGTCTTAGAAGAGTATAAGAGGCTTCATAAATGCTGCTCAGTATGATTCTAAATCCAAGTCTAATCTTTTATTCTTTACCTGTCAAAACCCGTCACTCAATTCTCTCTCTCATTCCTCCACATGTTGTCAATATGCCAGGGAATTGCTGAAATAGGTGATCTTCAACACCTGTCAGCTGATTTCCAAACCAAAATTAAGTTGTGCAACCGAACGGCCAGCACATTGAGTAGTGGGAAGCAGTGATCGGTGGGTTCTGCGACTGGTCTTTGTGACGTCAGGCCGGTGGCATGGCTGAGAGCTGCGTGTCGCTCGCCTCTGACAGCTGCAATGGCCACAGTAAAACACCCTGCCGGCCGGGGCCAAGGCCTCTCTCCTGCTGTCAACACACCGATCGGCTTTCATGGATCATCTCTTATCTGCCGAATCTGTCATTGCAGAGGAGGACTCCTTTCGGGGGCTTTAAACCGTGCTGCCATGGTTCACAGGCTCCAATACCCCTCTTACAGGCACTCTCTCCCAGCTTTTCACCGCTGTACTTCTTCTCTCTTTCTGGATTACATAAGCTGCAGGCCATTTGGTCCCACTAAAACTACCTGAGGGGCATAATATTAGAGGTGTGGGTCTGTTATGGATGGATTCTATGAAAGGGAAGAGGCTTTTGTTTGTTTGGACAGATGCACAGGGCCATTTGTGAACTTCTGTCAGTGATCAAAGCAGCTGATGATGTAGAACAGATTCATGGACCATGTCTTATCAGCCCCTGCTCTAACTGCCATCCATCATTCTGAGCCCTCATACGTCTCATTCCATTGACAGCACTCCAAACAAGGTGCATTAATCACCACCACTCCCTTCTTTCACCAGGTGGTGCAGGCACTTCAGACACCCACCAAGAATTCAGGAGGGTGGAACTATCAGAATACTCCTCAAGGCACACTCATGCATGTATTTTCCCCTCAAAATAATCTTGTTATTCTTCTGATGGGATTAAATAAGTCATAGCATACTTCTTGTATTTTGGCTCACTATATTTTTCATGATGGAAATCTGTCTGCATGAATATACTTTATGCAGGACTTGGTTTTGTCATAATATTTGTCAGCAACAGTGAGTTCAACAAATAAGCATTATATTGCTGGTTGTGCAGCTTCTAAAGGGCACTTATAGCTGTCTTAAAAAAAAGGTCAGGAGGTCAAGAGCCAAAGCATCATGTCATGGAATGTCAAGTCAAACGATGGAGCATTTGTTGTTAAGGAGTCTACCAGATGCAGAGAAAGGACCGGGTAAAACTTTACAGCTCAAAGTCAAAGTTAGGGCTGAAGTAAAATCTGATGTTGACAGGTAAACAGTGAGTTCATCTCAAGGTGAGGAGACATAAGCACTTGAAAAAGCCATATCTTTGATGACCCTACACAAAAAGACATTACAACAAGGCTGCACAGTAATGAAGGTTGAACATACCCAACAAACTCAATATTTCTGTCATATTCTACCATATATGTCAGGGGAGTTGCATAACCTTGCTGGTGTCCTTGGCCCCTGAACTGTTAATAAGCCTATTTGTTAAAATGACAGTGGCAGGCAGCATAAGCTCAGTCACTCTATGCCTCAGAGTGGAAGTCAGTTATCCCTGTGCTCAGCTCATCTGGCAGAGGTGAGAGGATATCAGTCTGACTGCTGTGACAGCTCTACTTTAGCATATTCATGACTGGTAGAGCCTCATTTCACAGGTGTATTAAAATACCTCTAACCCCTTTCTCATAGGGAGCCTCTTTTCGCCCAGTGATGCTGAGACGCCATGCATGAAAATCGATGGGGAAAATATGTAGAAATATAAGCATGCATCAAAGGCCGGGTCAAGAACCTAATTTCACAGTGACACCAGAGGTAATTTGGCTCTCGAAATGTTTGTCAATTCACCATTCATTTGAGCCGGCTTGGCGTGTGAGGCCACTGATGTGAATGCAAGGTGGCCAACCTGAAAGCCTATATTTATGGGGCACTTTTGTGAATACATTATGCCTGTCACAATGAAATAAGTGACATACTTACATGGTGCGAGGAGTGAGTCCAAAGGGGCGAGCACCGGGCAGGGGAGAGATAAGAGGAGAGGTAATTAGTACATTCATCTTTTTTATGATATCATTTTTCAGACATATATGATCACAATGTAAATTAGAAATAAGGAGGGACCTGAAGAAAATGGAATCCATTTGGACTGGGTCAATCGCCCAACAATAGCGGTGCTGGGAGGCCAAGTATAATTTACGGTGGTGTCTGGCTCTCTCTTTCCTGCCATGCACCTGGCAGAGGCTGATACTCTGCTTCCTACAGCTGCTAGTCCCGGTGCCCACAGATAATGTGCTCATCTCTAAATGACACGCATTTGCCACACCTGAAAAAAGCATTGGACTAAACTGGCTTTCTGTAATTTTCAGAATCCTCATTCCTCTTGTTCGTCAGAACTAAACACTCACATCAATTGATTTCTATGGAATATTGATTGTTGATTGAGTTGTCATGCAGATGAAGCCCCTCCCTCATTTCAGTAGAAACATTACGTCTGTATAATTAGAAACAAAAAGTTAATTATGTAATTATAAGGCCAATAACAGCCTGCATTGGTTTACCCTGCTTTAGTCGGTTTAAACATTATCTCTTGTGTGCACATCATAACAGGCGGAATGTGAGGAGAGAAGATTAACGCCTTGGAAAGCAGATGCAAAATTTAATTCTCCAGTCCACGGCTGCCTGGGAAACCATTAAGTAATCACAACATTCTCCCTCGATTAAATTCACGGCTGCCACTTTGCACACAAAGGAATGACGGAAAAAGAGGTGCCGCAAAGCTCTGCCATTTTTATTGACTGTAACGTCGCCCTGCCTGGAGGCACAGATGAATAAAAGTGTTAAATAGGGTGCCTCTATCTGTCAGAAAATGAAAAGTTTGAGTGGGCAAAATAAAATCTAAGTAAAATAAAGGCAAGGACTGTTGTGATTTGTAAGAGCTGATAAGAGCTCACGCAGAGTTAAGAAAATAAATGGAGCCACAAACAGATGCATCTGATATTCTCTATTATTTTTCAACCATTTCACTTCACCACAAATTATTTTTTGTCCCCAGCAGCTACAGATAAGGTCAAGAGAAAAAGTAGCCTTGGTTTGAATGGATTAAGAGCACCTACAGAAACACACAAGCAGAGATTTTCCTCACACGTAAAACCTGTAGAAGCAGAAGGCAGCTTGTATTGACAATTTGAAAAGCATACAGTGAGTGTGACAAATTAGTTATGGGTGTGAGAAATTATTATGGCCTTGAAATTATATTTATTTAATGTTACGCAGTGAAGCGGCTTGAAACAGCCCTAGAGGGATAGAGGTCAAAGGGGCGATCTTCATCTATAAACGAGCACTTAAGGGCAAAGAGAGCCTCCTGCTCTGATTAATTGGCTAATTCATTAGTTTGGTTAAGTCGTTTAGTAAGATGGTTGAGAAGAGGGCTTATAACCTAAGGGCTCTGCAGAACATCGGCTACAGATGAGCAGCACGACGGTGGCTAATGCTAATGAACTGTGCATATTCACATCAAAAAAGTGGGATAGATTTTGGTGTGAGGCACTGAAGCACACTGGTGTACACTCACACGCAATATTCTTTCAGGTTTATGATGTGCATATCCAGATATTATTAAACATTTACACTTTCTGTTTTGTTGTTATGTCAAAGGTGAATTCTTTCCAGATTTAAGGACAACAACATCATCAAGCATTTCAGTCAGTTCACAGAATAACGTCACACAATATAGGCTACCTGCTGTGCGTGTGCATGTGTTGTGTGTAAATACGACACTGCCATGGTCGTATTTACACATGCGTCTTAAAAAGCGCTTCCCTGAACGCGCTATGTGCATCCTCTCAGAAGTCTGACGCACAGTGGCATTCTGATGCACAGCGAGAACCAAAGTGGACATTCACAAAGTAACTGGCAGCCTGTTGCTACACTCCCAGTCACTCCTGTCCATCACTGTCCTCCCAGGGGCCCCTCATTCATACCCTAGGGGCCTGCGCGGGGGCCTGGGCTTCACCCGTTTTCTCTCTGCTCAGTGCAAATGCTAGGATCAGGTTTGGGGAAGGCAGCAGTTTTTTGTATACAGTGAACAGCTGGCACATTCCAGATAGCAGCTGAATTTAAGTACGGACAAAGACGACAAGCTTTGCCCAGTCCTTCCATAACCTATTCAGACCGACATAAAAAGGTTCATAAACTTCTTATCACAACAGGAATAGAAGCTGACGATTATGTAATTTATTGACGTATTGATATTTTGTATTATTGTATACCAATGCTACTAGAACCAATGCTCTTCCCACCATCTCATCCCATCTACACACCACACGTAGGTTCACTCTGCCACCAGTTTTTGCGTGATTCTTCCAATAGACACACACACACACACCCACCTTCACATGCACACACACTCGCACACACAGATTCAATATAAACTTTTGCAGGGACATCACAGCGTTTGACTTTTTTGATATATAAAAGCAAAACATATAATCACCAAGATAAACAGTGTTCTTCGAGAGTATTCTTTGTGTATACAACAATAATACAAATGACTAATGAGATTACAAGTTTGAATTTCCATACATCTTCTCGCCGTCAAAGAAACTCCTCCAAAACAGCGGAGAAGATGGCTGAACTAAGGACTACAATGGAGTGTTTGCATTTTTCTCAAACCCTTCCAAAACACAAAGAGCGCGGCATGTGACAGGTTCTATTATGCGGTGGCCCAGGCGTGGAGGAGGCAGCTCTGTGGGGTGGGGGTGTTCCAGTGGGCGGATGGGGTGACGGGGTGAGGTGGGCCAACATGTGCACAGGGTGTCAGAGGGCCACAGTGATGGCAGGTGATGAGCACTGTCCCGCCCTCGGTGCCATAACCCATGTCACACAGAGCTATGGGCCTATCAGCACAAAGAGAAATGATTGCACAGGGAATATCGCAGACAGGAAGAATCTGTCACTGAGCGGAGCCCTCCCTCTCCAGACGTCACAGACAAATTATGGCCTTTTTTAAGGACGACATAAGGCAACAGGAGGCCAGCATCCTTCTCTGTTCGGATGGACGAGACGTGAAAATATAACAAAAGACTAAACACGGCAGTAGCCAACACTCACTCAATTCACTTTTAGACTTTTTCATCCGTTGGTTCTCTTTATGTTTTCATTGACTTTTTTGTGATTATTTTTTTTGTCTCTGTAAAGACAGTGAGTTGCAGTACTGTATGAAGTTTGCCATAAAAATAAAATGTCCAATACTTTTAATTTTAAAAGATGGTTGACGATGTGTTTTATGTTTCCAAGGCGCAGTCTCTTTTTCAGGACTTTTATTTGTCTTTTAACGATAATGTCCACAATACACAAACCTAGTAATACATAATTTTAACAATATATCGGATCTATTGTACACAACAGCACATTCTCACTCAGTGTGTATGGAAGTTTCCAAACATCTCACCAAATAATAGAACAATATGGTTTTAGGTTGTTCCTGGAAAGAAGCCATATCTTTTGTATTGAAATATATTAGTCCAATTGAACCATTATGACGTTGCCTTTTGAATTTATCTTGGCCAGCACAAAAGATCAGTGGCCCTTTAACAAATGTGAAGGGGATTATTCTTTTTCTCCAGCTCCAAAGCCCACAACCATTCTGCTGTCTTTCACACAAGGGCATGAACTTGGATGGGTCGTGCTTTCCCCCCTGCTGGATGCCACATTTTAAACACACAGTCACAATTGACTGGATTAACCCACCCCCCACCCCTTATGTGAAGAAATCCAATGGACTCCACAACCCCTACCATGCTAGGAACCAGCAGAGGTGTATGCAAACTGGATCATGTTCTGTGAGAAAAAAAGTCTTCCTAACTTTTCTCATGTCACTTTCCGTCACACCCTCTAGTGTGGATGGGCACAGGACTTGCTTAAAAGGAACTCCTTTGAACTAGATTCATGGCCCATTTGCATAAGCAGATTTGGCTGAGGAGAATGGAGGGGTATTCCGACTGGTCATTAATATGCCAGCTAATTCAGCACATTGTAAGCCCATTGAGGCTTCACTAAAGGGCAGTTATCACATCGCCTTTGTTTAGGCCCATACCACTCTGAATGGCTGTTACAAATTGCATACTTAATTGATTTGAAATCTGTCATAAACCATTGCAAAAAAAGAAATGTATAGCTTTAGCAGTGGAGCTATTGTAGTCATGTCCTAAATTACATATGTGGATACATTTACCAGTTTCTTCATTAAATATATAGTAAGTTCAACAATTTAGAATGAATTATTTTAAGATAGAAAAATCATAATGAATCAATATGATTATAACTGAAACAACAAATTAGAACATACACTTATGCCAAGTATATATGTTAAATGCTTAGATAATATGCAATTATATGAGATTATCCCACCGTAAAAAAGGTATTTTCAAGTGATCACTACATGCACTTTTTCTTGCAAATCCCCTCTTCATGTGCGATTGTTAGATCATCTTTCGTAGAGTTTGTGAGGTGTGGGCCTCTGTATTCTTTCCCTCTCTTCAATGTCTTGCCCCTGATAGGGCCACATCAAAGCTGGTGGAGCTGGGCTTTGTTGGGCCTTGGTCCCTTGACTCTCAACATGTGGTTATATGGCTCTGGACATTGGCACCTTTAACCCATTCTGTCAAGATTAGGCATTGGCTTCAACCGAGCATTAGTGAAACTATAGTAACCAATAAGAAGCTTGTAGCTGAATAGAAACTATGTATCTTGTCACCACAGAGCTGTCGGAACATCACAATCCCAGACAAGTTTCTCTGCTGGACTTTGGCCGCTCTGGAGTGGGCCCCTTCTTTTCATCCTTACACACACTCACACACACACACAGACACACACACATACGCACATTGACGTGCACGCGCTGACACACACACAGACAGACACACACACACACGCACATCACACACACACACACTGACGCACACATACAGACACAGAGGGGAAGGGCCAGTGTTGGAAGGGCAGGCAGAGTGCCATGAGGTGCTGAGGAGATGTGGGCCCCAGCTTCATTAAGAGGTGCAAACACAACTTTAAAATACTCCAGCCAATCAGTGGGATTCAGGCCTTAGTTCCAGCGTAGCAGGTTCTTACGCAGCATTCTTTAACCTCTGGCACTTCCAATGGTTTTACGCTAAAGAATATAAAATACTTGTTTTACAAAACAATATTAGTTTTTATTGTTAATGGATCTGTGAAGGCCCGCCCACTTCCTGGTTCCATAAATAAAAAATAGCAACATTTTTCCCATAGGGATTTTTATTTGGTGAACACCTTTTGTGTATTTAAAATTGTAATTGTAATTTTTTTCAATGAAACCACTGCATTGTGGTTAGCTAGTTAGCTACCTCGTAACTGCTATACTGCTACTGTTTTTTGAATGGGGAATTTGACTTCTGTAGCCACTTTGCAGCTTTACTAAGCCTAAAGAAAGGGAGTGGATTCTCTATTGAAGGTGTGATGCTGGCAGAAATAGGAGCACCACTTCCAAAAGTGCATCCACTCAAACAACGTGTGGCTGAAGATAACCATGATGTAGTAAAAGTTAATGTGTCTAATATGCAAAATCTGTCTACAAACACTTCCAAAATCTTCAATAATAAAGATACAGAATTCCATTCCCCTGAACAAAGGTAATAGAAAGTGTAATGATTTACGAGGCTGTTATAATGCCTGCTGTAAGGAAAAACTTAAATAGACTCGACACGGAAGTAAATAGATGGTTGCTCTGGCTGCTGACATAAACACAGGATGAATACAAGAAACTACAAAGATACAATTATGACTAAAGTAAAAGGAATTAAATAGAAGATGTATTATTTTATTAATACAAAAAATACATTATTTGAATTTCCTCCTGAGATTATTTTTGAGTTAAAAGTAAAACATAGATATAAAGGCATAGACTATATACAAGCACACACAAAGTATACACAATAGACAATAATATTTTCATAGCATTGATTCTGGTGATTGTTTAAAAAAAAACAACATTGTATCCGTTGGACAATTTTGTTGAAATTATTCAGCTTGTAGCATGCCCCATGAATTTTTCAATGAAAAAGCTGTGCTGCTGCTCACAGAGGTTCGCAAACTGGACTAAAGACTCAAGAGAGCAACTGTCCTATGTTCATGTCTTTCCAACTTCTTGTTAACCCTCCTCATCGTTGGACTATCTGTACCAGGAGTAAAAGTAAGTGACCAAAACAATGGACTCTTTCAGTGAAACCATTCATTAGATATAAAGACTCGTTCTAAGCCAACAGCTCTGACCAAAAGCCAACAGACAGTTTGTGGCTTAGATCTTGTATGTCCTTTTTTTTCCTGGAGAATGTTGTTGATGCTACCTAATGTTACCAGTTTGTCATCCCGGCTCATCCGAGCCAGATACTAGAGCATGAGGCGGGGTGGATTGTTGGCGCACTGGTGGACAGTGGGCGAGTGAGCCTCAGACACAAGCTTGGCTGGACTCTGAAGACTGGAGCCTTCTGTGAGGTGGCTTGCCCCACCACATGGAGTGCTCCAACAGTGACCCTGCGCAAACTGGCAACTGCCAACCGTCTGCTTCCGTCTGCTTGGCATATTTGGCCATTTAGTGGGTGCTTGTGAAGATCAAATAGGTTAAGATTGCCCCTCTTAGAGTGTGGAATAAAAGAACATCAAAAAGGTGTAAATTTCAATTCCCTACTTTTGATTAAGTCAAGCATGAAAGGAAATGTAATACTCTCAAGTGGCAAGGGTTTACCCCATTGATGCTGTTACTTCTGCTCCAGGAGGCCCAATCAGCCGACAGGGAGCTGAGTAAACTGGGCCTGAGTTTTTGGGGAGGCCAGATGGAGGGCTTTTGCTGTGCCTGAAAAGACAGCTTAAGAGCTCGCCTCCTCAATCCCACTCAATACCGACTGTGTGAAATCCTGGCCCTGGCTAACCCCCCCATCCCACCCTCCCTATCCAAAAGCTGGTGGCTACCACCATATGGACTTGTTTAAAAAACTCCCACAGGCTGGTACAAAGCACAACAACACAGTTTTCATATCAAGTACTCACTGAAAAGCCCCCCTCCCTCTGACTCCTTCTCTTCCGATTCCAAAGCCTGTCACAGGTTCTGCTCTGATTAATAGTTGGTCTTGGCCGTCTGCTTTGTCATATCATTTGGTATATGATTAATAAAACCTGCTCAGGCCAACCAGATACAGATTACACAGTGTAAAACAAAACTGGTTGGCTTTTCATCTTTCATCTTTATCACTGTGTTATTTTCATACTAGTTCATCGCCGAGCAGTATTCAACCTCTTCCTGTTAGTTTGTTAGTTCGAACAACCTCTCACAAAGTCAAATTGAATAGGGAAGTGTCCTTCATCGCGTGTGGTGGACAGTGAAATGGAATGGCTTTTGTGAAGACTTAATAGAATCTTTAACCGTTCCAACAATCTACACCCCTGGAGTTGCATTAAGGAGATATTGTTCGGGGACAATGACCTAAATAGCTCAACATCAACCTCATTAGGCATGCAAGCAGGACCGGAGCCATTTCATGGTGGAAGCTATTGTCAAAGCTCACCCCAGGTAAGCATTAAATTGCAAATGATACCCTGAAAGGCAAGCGGAGGGCAGAAAGGGAGAGGGCTGAATATTGTAAACACAGAAAAATGGTTCTCAGGACAACAGAGAGAGAGAGCTGACCTGACCGTAAGAAATCCAATACATCACAGTCTTAGCGGAGTGAATTCCAGTCGTCTCCTCAGTGTCTTATTTGTAAGCAATACTGAGCAAAGGCCTGTGCTGAGACAAAGGAAAAGAAAATCAAGGCCCAAACAGAGAAATCTAATGGCAGACTGATAGCAATTACTTCTGCTCGTCATTGGCTTCAGTCTCTCTCCCAACATTCCTGGAGAAAATTAGACAAGTGGGAAAAATAAGTCAGAAGAAAAGGGGTAAGGTCTGAAAACAGTTTAGATTGTGTCTGTAGAAATAGTCTCTCAAGTATTGGAACCCTGTCTCAAACTTTCCAGGCAAGTCAATTTCTCAACAAATCAATAGGCTCTACCTCCGCACCAAACAATCTGCTAAATGACCGTCTTAAAACACCTTGTAATAAATAGGTCTCTGAATAATAATTTAGAGGCAAAATGTTCCTACGAGTGACATTAGCCACTCCTGTGTTGCTCTGATGATCCGGCCCTGCCGCTTTTGCTCTTGATATATTGGGCCCATGTGTATTTACTGTCACTTTGAGCGTAAGTGAAATGGCCCTTGAGGTTTTTGTTTCACCTGAAGCCTCATGAAATAAATGAAGGCAGGGAAACAATCTATATACGGTTTTATTTTCTCACATTACACAAACATCCTACACAAAACAATGTTCATCACAGGGTTTCATTCTGACTTCATTGTTGACATTTATAAACATCCAACCAGAAAACCCCTGCCGTTTAATATCCTCTGGCTAAATACATTTAAATATCCACTAGAACAGCACAAAACAATGTGGTGATCCAACCAAGCAGGTGGCAATAACAACCATGCTGAGTGACATTTGTAGTTGGCTTGTTTTGACAAGCCTATATGCATTATAATTCCAATTTTGCAGATTGTTTTTCATCTAATGATTAGGTTATAGAGAGGTCAAGCTTTTACACCTTGCCAAAACCACAAGCGCTTGAGCAACTTAGCAAACACGGTCAAATACGTAAACTACAAATGAGATCTGAGTTTAAAATATTATGAAATTGTATACCACAATCACAATGAATGGAAACAGTAATTAATTAATTGCTGTTTTGTTTAGAAATGTGTATATATTGTTCTTATTACTACAGCATTGCTGGCGTTTGTGTATTGCCACCATCACACCAGAGGATGGCAGAGTGGCTGATGAGACTTAGCCTCATGATGCTTGGCTTCAAACTGCGGCTGCTTTCAGATGCAAAGCACCGGCTTAACAGATGCTTTCGCCGTGATTTAAGCTCCACCAGACTCCCAATTTTGACAACATTATTGCAATCGACTGAATTAATAATGTACAGTATTATATGTTTTTGTAGTAAAACAACGAGGATGTTTAGTGGGTGTAAGGAATATGTTGTGTGTGTTATTTTTCCTTTTTATTGTTTTCTCAAGGTATTGTATTTGTTTTCTATATGCATAAGATTGCAGCTTCATTTAATCTAAATGTAATATATAACTACCTTTAAATATTAGTTCAGGGCCCTTGTATCCAGCTGCCTTCATCCCAACATGATAAGTGTTTCCGCTGAAGACAGATTAGACAATGAGACAAACACATGAGATGGAAGAATCATGCATCTATTACATTCTGAACAGTCACTATCAATAAACTCTATATTCTTTGACATGATCGCTGCACTCACCTGGGTTTTGACATTACAATGTTTGTTTGATTTTGAAAAATAGCTACATACTTTATTACTCAAATATTAGACATTGAGTCAAATTTTTATTCTCAAAATAAATGATCAATTGGCAAGGGAACACTGCTAAATTCCTGATTAATTACAACCAGTGGAACATTTAATATGTGCCCTTTCAATAGTAAACATCATCAGCTACTAACAGATTGCGGCTCAATCCATTTGCTGGGTCCAGATCTTTGGCCCCCACTGCACTCTTTACAGCCAGGATAGGCATTGTTTGATCCTGTTGGCAGCACAGTGATGCAGCACGTTAATGAAGAGGTAATGAGCCGGCCGATCCTCTGCGATCAGCAAAGGGGGCACAGTGCAAAAGTTTACGTTCCCAGGACATTGAGCGAGAGCATGCCCAACAAGGCGCTGGATGAAAGGCAGGCCCTGGTCCACTGCGAGGATCTCCACTGCCACAGAGGGGATTACAGACACCTACTTCCAGCTTAGCCTCCACTTTTTGAAGTTTGGGCAATGGTAAGGGAGAGATCACTTTAGTATAGTCCTGTTTGATTCTAGTGGGAGTCCGTTCCTAATCCCTCTTTCCCGTTCTCACCTTATGCTTGATCCACTGCAGCCTCTCATCCCTG